ACCATCTCTTCCCTTCCCACCTCCATTTAGTAAACTCTAGCTGTGTGACCCTGGGCAAGCCACTTAACCCCGTTTGCCTCAGTTTCCTCATCTGTAAAATGAACTGGAGAAGGAAATGGCAAACCTCTCCAGTATCTTTGCCAAGAAAACCCCAAATGGGTCATGAAGAGTCGGACACCACTGAAATGACTGCACACACCCACACACAGTCTCCCTGTTACCTCCAAGATCAAATATAAAATCATCTGTTTGGTTTACAAAGCATTTCATAATCTGGTCCCTTCCTGCCTTTCTAGCCTTCTTACACCTTATATTCCTCCATATACAATACTCTATGATCCAATGACACTGGCCTCTTTGCTGTTCCTTGTACATGACACTCAATTTCCTGACTCCTTCCATCTTCCCTGGCTGTCCCCCTTGCCTGGAATTCTCGGCTAAAATCTCACCAAAGCCTCAGGTAAAATCCCACCTAAAAGTAGCCTCTTCTGCCCCATCCTCTTAATGCCGGTATCTTTCCTCTGATCCCATCTCCAATTTGTCTTGTATATACCTAGTTTGCACATAGTTGTTTGCATGTTATCTCTTCATCATAAAGTAAGCTCCTTGAGGACAAGACTGGTCCGCTTGCACTATCTCCAAAGCTTAACATGGTGCCTAGCACTTAATAAAGGCTTGACTTCACTTGTTGGAAATGCGACTTTAGAGAAGAATCAGAGCTGGAGAGGGGTCCTCAGAGGTCATGAAGTCCAATCCACACCTGTCCAAGCATCCCTCCCACAACGAGGAATCCCAGCCTGGATTTAAAGATCTTCAGACCACTTTGCCGAGTCCGTGGAGGCCAAGCTGTCCAAGCTGGAGACCTTCCTTTGCAGCCTGTTTTCAGATGCTGTCAACCTTTGAGTGTGATGCTTTCTAGTCTAAACGGACAAGCGGCTATTCTCCAACCCTATCCTGACCCTCTCCTGCCTCTGTAGACTCAGGCAGGTTGCTCCCCCATACCTGGAATGAGCTTCCTTTCCTCTGCCTTTCAGCATCCTCTTCCTTCAAGGCCCAGCTCAGAAGCTGCTCTCCTTATTCCCCTCCTCCTCCATCCCACCACACAGTGGTTGAGAGAGTTCTTGTCTCCATTTGATTTTCCTGGGGCACTCTGGATTTCTGTTTATTGCTTCTCCACATGTACCTACGTTCTTGTCATTCTCTTTTCTTAAATCTTTGCTGAGTTCTCAGGCCTTCTATGGAGGCCCTCAAGGTAGACATCACCAACAGCATCAACACTTGAACGTCTACAACGGAGAAGATCCTGGGGTTTGCCCCCTTCGATCGCAGTGTGGTTGTCTCGACGTTTTAATTCTGGCTTTGTGAACTGGGACCGATGAGGCAGAGGGTCTGGTTTTGGGTTGGGGGGTGAAGCACTGTATACAGGTGGCACTGGCTTAATAAAATCCTAGAAACTCAGGAAAGACTGGACCAACCTGAACAAGTGGTAGTGTGTGATACAAGAATGCTTGGCTTGAATCAAAAAGATGTCAAGGTCACCAGGCCTCCTTGGGAAAATGTCTACAGCCGCACACATCATGGAGGATGGACTATTATGGTCACTCCATTCCTCAGTTTCCTCTTGGCCCCTTAATTCTACTCCGCATCTCTTGCACCCAGGCCCTTTGGATTAAAGTATTTACATGCATCTTCGTCACCTGACTTCTGGTGAATGGTTGGTCTGTGTCTAGACGTGGAATTTCTTCTGAGGACATGATACAAAAAAATTCCCAGGAAGTTGTGGAGTGCAGTGGCAAGGGCCCTGGGCTGAGAGTCGAGACTTTGGTTCTAGTTTCGGCTCTTGCTGTGTGACCTTGGTTGAGGGACAGCTTGTTTCCTTGTCTCAATGCATGTTACTTACTTTTCAAGTCAGATAATGGATGCCAAAATTGCTTTATTAAGCTATAAATGCAGGAGATGGCTACTGGGATATGGAAAGTGGGGAGTGGCCTTTTGTTCACACCGGTCAGAACAAAGATGGGAGGCTTCCCCATTATCAGGGGTCATTACCTTCCTCCCTCCCCCAATATACAGACATTGCATCCCAGACAGCCTCAGCCCCAGTCCTGCTTGCTCCAAGTTTTGGAAGATGGCCAGGGGTTCATCACCACTGGCTATGACTGCACAAAAGGCTCATTCTTAAAAGAAATTCAATTTAATTGTCAAATGGAAGGAAAATACCATCTGGCCTGGCCCTTCTTAACTCTACATGTTCTGGGGAGTGTTCTGAGCCAGGCTTAATAAAGTGGGGCAACAGTGAAAGCCAGCTCCTGGTTGCTAGCAAGCTCCTGACTTTCCACGAACCCCCTTTTAATGTCTGATCTCTTCCAACCAGCCCCATAGCCCTTCTTTGCAGACCCTGACATAATCCTCTCACAGGAGTGAGAGCACCAAAGAAAGGATCATGGGATTTACAGCTGCATTATCTAGGCTAGCCACTGCCCCTTTTGCAGATGGAGAAACTGAGGGCCTGACAGGGGAAACAACTTGCCCAAGGTCACACAATTGGGAAGTATAGGTTGAGTTGGGCGACCACTGAGGTCCTTTCCAACTCTAAAATTCTATAGTTCTGTGAAATGACAGACCTGGGATTTGAAATCAGGTCCTCTTGCCATTAAATGCAGCGCTTTCCCTGCAACGGTAATGAGGAATAAGAATTATGGAATGAGCTGGAAGGAGCCCCAGGGACCACCTAATCTCACTCACCACTTCCTTTTATAGAGGAAGATGAGGCCCAGAGAAGGTCACTTGTTCAAGGTCACCTAGTGAATTACTAATCTATCAACCATGGAATGCCAAGGCCAACCAAATATGACATACACCACCTGTCACTGTACCTTTCCCCACTGATTATCGAAATCCTCAGAAATGTTATTCAAACTGTTAAGAAAAGCCCAGTGTCGAAGGGGGAATCTGATCTGGGCAATAGGAATCTTTCTGCCTCTTAGATTTCCCAGGCACTATTTAAAAAAACAAACAAACAATAAACAAATAGGATCTTAGGGACTTTAAAGAATTAAATAAAGAGGATGAAGAGACCTAGAGTTGAATGGGATCTTAAAGACCATCTGATCATATCTCATTTTAACTGAGGACCTGAAGCCCAGAGTGTTTAATGGACCAGATCTGAGTGTCACAGTGAGCCAGTGACTGACGTGGGACTAAAGCCCAGACCCCTCGAGTCTTAGGCCAGAGGCTTCTGCACTATTCCCCAAGTCAGCCTTTAGAAGAACAGCTGTATTTGTTCCACTGTAATGAACAGTCTAGTTTCTGGGGCTATGCCTGGCACTGGAGTGGTCTGTCTGGCTGTTCTAGACACGGGCAAGGATAGGGTTGATGAAGACTAAGAGTCCCTAGTATTCTGATCCCTCAGAAATCCATCCCTCCGGCCCTGTCGACAATCTATCCTTATGCTGTGTAACAAAGCATCCACGCCGTACAAAAAGCACACCCCGGATGACAGACTGGCCTTCATGCTGTGGACAGGTTCCACTCCATGCCAAGCTAGTCCTTTTTCCTCCAGTTCTTCCACCAGAAACCAGACACGTGCCTATAGAAAAGCCTCTCCCGGAGCCCTGCTGCAAAGCTTTGGTGACACAAACTGGGAATTGTGGGTTGATGGTGAATAGAGAACCTTGCTTTTGATCAGGAGTACGCTGGCTGCCAAGTTTTCTCTTCATCAGCTACCCTTTTATATTCAGTCCATAAACGTTTCTTATAATCCTGACTCCAAACTCTTGACGGCCCACAGTCAGTCCATTCTTGTCCTTTTGTGTGGAGACTTAGGGCATCTAATAGCGATGGCCTGCATTGTCACATCTCTGCAGAAGCACCATGGTCAAAGATAATGTACATTAACCCCCCACCTATCCAGAACACTGTCAAAAATCCTAAAATAACACACTCTCAAAGAAGTCCATGCATTTTGCCCATAGGAACTCCTTAAACCTTTACCTGGACGACTGGGTCTTACTTTACATAGAAGCAGTGTGGAATGGAGTTACCTGGAATCCGGAAGACCCGAGTTTGAATTCTGACTCAACCCTTCCTTGCTCTGTGACCCTGGAGAAGCTGAAAAATCTCACTGAATCTCAGTATCCTTGTCTATGAAACAAGATCTGTAGCATTTACCTCGTAGAGAAGTAAGGATAAAATGAGATAGTGTATATAAAGTGGTTTGCAAACCTCAAAGCAATGTAGAAATGCCAGTTATTATTATTATTCTAATAAGTTTAGCTCAGTGGTTTCCTAGCATACATATTAGAGACAGAAAAAAAAATTGAGAATAAATATTCTGAAAGCAAAAGTTCATAGTACAAGACACAGAAGAAAAAGACAAACCAAACCTGGGGTAGCAGGTGGAAGGATTCAGTATAACCTGGAAGTCCAAAAGGAGGCCTTAAACCATTGAGAAGTACCATGTCCCATCATGCTCAGCCACCTCTGATCAAGAAGGTAGGGGGGTGTGCGAAATGTTTTAGACCTTCAGCTATCTGGAAAACTCACTCCACGGGAACATAAAGGAGGCGTTTCTACACCACACCTCGTGCTGTTTCAGCCTGTAGAACACAACACCTTACTTCCCTAGCTGCCTTCAAAACACCAGTTTACTGAGTTTACTCAGAGACCTGACTTGGTTCTTACAGCCTCCTTAAAGACGTTTCCCCATTCCCCTTGGAAAGGTCTAGTGGAAAGAACGTTGAGGTCAGACGCCCTGAATCAGGGTCTCTGTCATCATTAGCTCTGGACCTTGGGCAAAATCATTTCATCTACTGGAATATGCTTCTCTGTTTGTAAAAAGAGTCTCAGTTGTCACTACCTCCCTCACGGGGTCAAATGAGGTAATGGATGTCCAAGTGTTCCACAAATGATAAACTGATATGCTCTGGTAAACGATCCTCTTCTCTTATACGGAAAACAATGCTAACCACAAAAACAAAGATGGTGGATTCAAAACCAGGTAAAAATATATTTTCTTTTAATATGCACTTGAGGTCACACTATTTTCTCTTAGACTGTTACTCCAGGTAACAGCTCAGTTTCCACCTCCCAAGGGCATTTTGTATGAACTGATAAAGATGGAACAGGCATTAACAAAGTGACCCTCAACCAGGGCATTCTCAACAGTAAAGGAACAGTGATAACCATTTTTTGCATTCATTTTAGGCTGCCTGATGTACCCACACATCTGCACTTCGAAAATGTGTGAGAACCAGAGCTCAATGCATAAATTAAAAACAAACAAAAATCCCACCCAAGCCATTTCTTTTCCAGAATCTGTCAGCAATATATATGTGTGTGTGTGTGTGTGTGTGTGTGTGTGTGTACATATATATATATATATAAAACATCTATCTATTCCTGATGTAAATGTATCATGAATCAGTACCTTTGCACAATATAAATTTGAGATTTTCTCTTAAAAATCAACCATCTCAGAAAATGGTCCCTCCTCTTTGATATATGTATATATATATTTTGCAGATGTCCTAAGTAGACTACAAAATACACAAAAAAGGGACCTCAATAGAATGAATGAATCCAGCACGCCCACCCTCCTGGTCTGAACCTGAGGAGCAGTGATTTAGGGGATTGCTGAGAAGCCTTAATACATTATTTCACATAAACTGGTGAGATTCGGGGTGCTCTGGACAAGAATTCAAAAGCAGTAGCAGCAACTCTGTGTGCTGAGAGGTTTACATGGTACATACACCCACACACACCCAGACACATAGACACACGCACAGAACTCCCATCTTTTTTTCAGTGTTTGTGTCACAGGGTCGAGGCCCCTGCCCATCAAAATAAGTTATTTCATATACAGTGCACAAAACATGAAAAGGTAAGAGACTTTCTGTGAAGACCCCCAGAGAGGCACTTGGCGTAAGGTCCACGCCTCTCTGAAAGGGGCAAAGGCAGGAGGTGGGCGCCTGCGTCCCTCTTCATTAGCTGGATGCCGCCTCTTTGGTCAGAGCTGCCTCGGCGGCCGTCGCTGCTGCCTCGGCCCCCTCCACGCCCTCGCTTGCTTTCTCTTCTTCATCCTCCTCCTGGGGATAGAGGTCTGGGTACTTTTGCATGCATTCCTGCATGGCCCGGAACTGATCCACACAGTCTGAACCTTTGACTTCCTCTGTGCTGTAATGGAAACAGGAGAAGGCCGACTTGAACTGTTCTCCACAGGGACCACTGGCCATTCCCCCAAGACACGGGCAGTTCCAATTAATGTCTCCATTGGGCAGTATCAAACCTGCAGGGAGGAGGGAACAGAGCTTTAGAATATCACAGGTGTTCTCTGAAGTCTGGGGGAAAACAAAACTGTCTTGTAGGGATGGGCTGCTGACTGGAAGAACTGGGAGGGTGTAAGGCAGTCGGGGGCCCTGGCCCCGGCTCAATCCTTGTGCTAGAAGGACTGGCCACAAAAGGGAGAAATCCAGTGTTTTCTGGCTCACTGAGCGCATCCTGGTCATGACCCAGAAACAGAGAATGTTAGAACTGAAAAGGACCTTAGAAATCTCTCCCAAGCTCTCTCATTTCAGAAGTAATAGGTGAGGGGTGACGGTCATGCAGCAAGGTAGTGTCAAAGACAGAACTAGAACCCAGGTCTCAAGTTTCAGTCCAGGTCCTTTTCCTCCATACCTTCTGTTCCCTCCATAGTCACTTGATAAAGAAATCCCAAAGCTCCTAACCAGACCACTCTCAGGGAAAAAGTGGACATGGGCACATGGGACAGGGTCAAGAGCACTGTATTTGGAATCTAGGGACCTGAGTTCAAATCCCAGCTCCTTTCTCAGAGTCTCTGGGCAGGCTACTTCACTGATCTGGGCCTCAGTTTCCTCATCTGTAAAATGAGAGCACTTGACCTAAGGACCTCTAAGGCCTTTTCCTGCCAGAAATCTGATTTCAACGCCAAATTCCAGATCTCTTCCTGAAACACGAAGCCATTCGAGGCAGGGGGAAGTTGCAGGTTTCCTAATCAGCTCTAAGACCCCATCTATGACCCCACTTCTTGCCCTATGGATGGGACTGTGAGATCAAGGACAGCCACCATACATTATGAACCAAGAGAAGTAACTGGCTGTGGTGCCAACAGCCCTACAACGAGGGCACAGGCCTCGGGTCTCTGCTGCTAAGCACAAGGCCACAGGAAAAGGGTGTTTGTGAAGCTCACCCCTCCGCACACAGACTCCCTCTGGTGTCTCCCACCAACACTGTGAACTGGTCCATAATGTGCATTAACAAAATGCTGCCTCAGCTGCCACCTCCACACCCTCCGTGTGTTCTGGGCACTCTCCCTGCCCAGCTGCACCGAGGGGCTGCCCCCACTGCATGCCAATATGCTGCCCACCTCTCGGCAGAGAGGTCTGGATTCCAAAAGGCTCTGAGCCACGGGTCCCAGAGGACCGCCAGGACATCAGACAATTCAACAATGAGAAGTGCCCCCCCTCCCCCAACCATTATAGCTGTACAAAAATACATCACGGTTCACTGCTTTCTGCCCTAATTTTCACTCAAGTCGTCACAAAAGACAAAAGATTTGATGCTCCAGGGACTGACCCCCTGCCAGCTCAGAGGACCACTGTCACCAGGCCCACAAGAAGCAGCCTGGAAAGGCACAGCCTCATTCATATGGACAAAAATATTACTTTTTGGAGATGCTGACTCAGTTTCCTCTGCCAGGATGTGTGGCTGGGAAGGAAAAGTACTGGCTCTGGAGCCAAAGGTCTGAGTTCAAATCCCAGCTCTAATTCTTATCACCTATTTGACCTTCTCCAGGCTTCAATGTTTCTTCTGTAAAATTGGGGTGGGAGTGAAGGCAGTTCTGAATTCACCATCCTGCACTAAACAACCTGCAAACTTTCATTAGGGACCAAGCCAGGCAAAGGCTGCCCCCTAGAGGTTCTGGTCTGACAACAGACCTGCCCTCCCTTCAGACCCTCCTGCATGTCAATCAGATCCTCAAATGGGCGCCTGCCTGCCTGCCCGCCCGCATGCCCAGTGGGGGATGTGGCTTTACCGAGTCTGGGATGGCATCACTGCACTGGACCAGACTCGTGGGCCAATGTGGGAAAGGGAGCCCGTGTCTGGTGGTCTAAAAGCAGAACGCCAGGATATGGTATTCACCCGAGAACATTCTCATATCTACCCAGTCCTGTACAAATCCAAGCTGGGTGGCTGCTTCAAGAAGCCTTCCAGTCGGTGTGGAACACCAGATCCTCAGATACTAGGCCAGGATGGACAAGCATTGGGCTTCGAGCCAGGAGGGCCAGGCTCTCAGGCAACCATGGTCCCAGGACTCCACCAGCTGGATGACCCAAGGGTGCGTCCTTTCTCCTCTCTGTGCCTCAGTTTCAAATCCATACATGAAAATGGCCACAGTGGGTCTGGAGGGACTGAAGTCTCTTTTGCTGTCTCCATCTCTCTGGAGACCCTCCCCAGCTCCATAGGTCCCCTTGCCACTCTGACCCTGTGCCTAGGCTGGCAGCTGAGCGCATCCGCCCAGAACCCCATCCCTAACAAGCGGCCTGGCAAGGAAAACCCTGTCTAGATAGTTACCCTTCCAGACACCTGGGGAAAGCAGGAAAACTGTGTTAAAGAACTGACCAGCCAACACCCCACATGTCATCTCTCATATGCAAACAATACCAAAAATGGATTCTCCACCACATTATACAGCCCTTACCAACAATTTCCTCACCTTGTTCCAAAGGGACAAAATTCACTGCATAAAATTCTCTCACAAGTCAAAACTATAACAATTATAATCTGCATTAAAAAAGGCAGCTAAGCCACACCTGACAGTTTATTTCAAGCATCACTGTCCATTACACAACCCTCCTACATGAAAAGGACACAGACGGGTCCCTGTGAATTTGCTGTAACAGGACCTCAACCTATTCCTCCCAGCTGCTCTGACCTCTTAACACCATTTTTTGGAACTAGACAAGGGGGTTCTACTTGTACCTCCCTAATGCCAACTTTGTGCCCCAATTTGCTATCTCAGGAAAAAAGGAGAAGGCAGAGGCCCTTAGGGCCCATCCTCTCCTGTCCTATGCCGAGGGCTGGACTGCCCACCTGAAGCCTCCTGGTTCTCCTTCCAACTCATTGGCCATGCACAAGGAAAGGAAGAAAGTCCAAAACAATTCACGGTTTAATGCAACTGGCCTCCTAATAAATTCACACGGTTCCTCCTGGGACCAGTTCCTAGAGTCAATGCTAAATGCTGAGTACTGGTCTGAAGAATCTCTATGGCATTTAGCGGAAACGTGCTTTATGGATGATTAGAGTTCTCTAGCTTTTAAATAGTTAACTCAAGACTAGAAGCAAAAGCCAATGCTTCATCTCACTCTGACCGTCACCCACCACAGCTTGTGCCTGGATAAAGTCACACCTCCAGTTTCATCGTGTGGGTGCTCGCTCCTCCATCAAAGACCAAACTGCTTCCCCAACTGCGCAGGTGCAGTGGGAAAACTCCATCCTTCCACCGCCCACCTGAGGATGCCACACTCTTGTGACCCTAACTGGGCCAGGCCCACAGGCTAGTCCAGGCCTGTCCTGAAAGCCAGGCTTCAGGCGGGATAAGTTCACAAGGGTCTAGTCTAGAGCAAAGCTCCTTTACCAAACGTATGGGAACTTGTTTTAAAATATATTCTAGAAGCTAAGTATATTTCAGCATAATAGCTGTCCTCTGTAATCCAATGTATTTTATTTTGTGCATTTAAAAGCATTATTCTGAGAAGAGGTCCCCCCAGACCGTCACACCCAAAGCTTAAGAACCACAAGTCCAAAGGAAGGAAAACAAGAAGGGGGATCGGCCTTCAGTTCATTGAGGACTTAACGGGGGGAGCTTGCCCAAGGTGGAAGGGGCATTCCTCAGGAGGCAGTGGGGTCCCCCTACTGGGGGCCTTGAAGCAAAGGCTTTGCACATCTGATGAGAGGCCTTCTTGCCCGCCCTGGAGGACTTTGTCACAGCTTGTGCTCCCCTGGCCCGGCCTTCAAGCTGTCAGGGTCACCTCCATGCTAGGCCCTCTTCTGCTATGAGGACGTTCTTCCTTGTCAATATCCTGCTCCTGCAGCATTTTATCATGTCAGATTTTCCAGGAGCTATAGGTTGGCAAATGAGCAGATGAAACAGAGGGTAACAGGACCAGCAGCTGGTCTGACCACTCCAGCCATGTTTTTTTAGAAAACAAAACCCAGCAAAACCAAAGAGAGGTTTTAGGGGCTTTAGGTTACCGAGCATGGAGAAATGGTGACCCTCCTGAAGCTGACCTGTCCCTGCCAGGGCCCTGACCAGCTCTGGAAGTGCATGGGAGAAACTCACTCCCAGGCTCCTTTTTACGGGGGATGGTGTAGGGGAGAAGAAATCTGCCTCAACTCAGAAATGAAGTGCTACTGACCGTGGTCTTCATAGGGATCGTTGGGGTCATCTGCTACCAGCTCAGCATTGCTTGGCGTCTCATGGTCTTCTTTGGTTACAAATATAATCCGGTCCTTTCCTGACGTTTGGGAGAAAGACCAAAAAAAGTCCCGGCTAAGTATTAATTTTAACAACACAGTCTACTGACAAGAGCTGTCATCTGGTACGAGTCCTAGAACTAGTCTATTTATTTGTATACCCGGTGATCAAATATATAGCAGCCAGAGCCTCATGCCAGATGTTAGGGGTGATATACCAGTTCCTGCCCTCACGGAGCTCATATTCATTTGAAAAGGCAACGATTTTGCTGCTTTTCCTAATCCTGACCAGGGCTCATGGAACCCTGTATTCAGTTTGGGGCACCTCATTTTGTCAAGATTCGAGCTGGGCTCAGATTCCTTAAGAGTCTGGCCCAGTTGTATTGGCGATACAATAAACCTGGTCTCTGACTGAAAGAAGGCTTGAGTCGAATTCTTTCGAGGCAGGACTCATGTCTTTTGCCCTTGAATTTCAGCGTTCCCAGCACCCCTAGACCTCAACATATGGTTCACTGCCCAGGTAAACTGCCTAATCCCAAGCTCTTCTCCAGCCAAGACTGGAAGGTATGTAAGCCTTCCCTCTCCCTTTCAGGCCCTGCAGTTGGGGTCACTCTCCAAGCACCTGGGAAGGCCTGGAGGTGCTTTTCAGGCCAGATGCTCCCAGGTTCCAGTTAGGTCAGACAGTTACAAGGCTGTCTCTCACTCAGACTGATGCACTTTGGCTCTTAGTCCATCGGTCCGGTTTGAGGCTGTGGACCTGGACATACCTTCTACAGCATAGAGGACGGATGGATGCCCATGTTGAAGTGTGTGCCCAATTCTGTCAATTCTCTCAATTCCCTCGGGAAAACCGCAGGTGCTTTTTGGTGTCTTGAGGTTTATTGTCTGGTCTATACTGCAAGGCTCCCTGTTCCTACGCCTGTGCCTGCAGGATCCCCCTTCCCTCCCGGCCTCATGGCCACCAGATCCTTGCAGCCAGACTCAGTGGGACTTCCCCAAGATTTGCCCCAGGTCAGAACTGGAAAAAGCTTGGTCTCTAAGACCTTGAAAAGGAAAGCTTTGTGCCTGGCCTCTATGATCTATAGGACCAAGATAAACTGGACAAGTTCAAAGAAAAATTCTTAAGATTTTTCTAGAATAGCTAAAAACATCTTAGCAGATTCTGAAGGTTTTGTGATTGATCATTAAGGAGTTTTGAGAGACCTCTTTATGACCCTGGTCACTTGCCTCCCCACCCAAGGGAAGGGAGTGGGGGAATCTCAGTGAGGGGATTGCAAACAGCCCCAGGTTTTTCTGTTAACCCCTGTCAACCCAGATCAAACTAGGAGAAGAGAGTTTCACTCTTCCTCTCCCACCTGGCTAATGGAAGGAAGTGGGAGGGCAGCAGCTACAGTAGGCCCTACTGGTAATTGCCTTGGACCCTGGGGCAACCCAGAAAGCCTGGAAGTATCACCCAAGTTCGGCACATCCTGCTCCCCCCCAGCAGCCATGGGGAAAGAGTAAAGTGATCTCATCAAGGCAGTATGAGGTAAAAAGCCAGCCCCTCTCCGAACTTGGACTACAGGCCAATCACCTACAGTTGGTAGCAAACACTGGGTACCAGCCTATATCCTCCCATCATCCCCTAGATGAAGTCTGTGTTCAGTTCCAGTCAACCTCCTCTCTGGGGCTCCCTCAAGGCAGGGACAGCTCTACCCTGTTTGCCAGCAGGAAGCAGTTTCAGAAGCTGAGACCTTTGCCCTTACCCCAAAAGAATTTGGGTCTCATTTGTCTGGGAGGGGAATGATGGGGCGCTAATGGTGGAACCCTAAAAGGCCCTATACTTTGCCATATGGTTTAGGTCCCTGGTGTTCACCTGGGGCACCTGGCACTTCCCAGTTAATAATCCTTTCAGCTATCCTTGCATTGTGGCTTTGACCCTGCCCCAATCCCCAGTTCTCTGTCACATCTAACCTAGCTAGCTCTTCATTATCTGTTACTTCGAGATCACCTCCCTCATTAAATCACTCATAGATTCTTAAAATCTTGCCCACCTCAACCAGTGTTTTAGTAAATCTTGTCTCTAACTGAAAAGAAAAAAAAAGATGCAAGCTGGAAAGCAAAGACTGGGAACAAGTAAAACTGAGAAAGAAAGCTGGGGGGGAAAATACCCAAGACACAATACAAACTTAAGAAAAATACACTGCATTCATCTAGAGAAAAATAAACATCGAAGCAAGATGGAAGAAAGATAATCCCATAATACAACTTTTGAGAGAAGAGGCATCTCCTAATGACCTTAAGTGAGGCAACAATGTTTAGAATGGAAAGAACTTTCTTTGTTGCTTAATTATCCTCTCAGAGTGCCAACAGAAGTTGAGAAAACAGCAGTTGCTCACATGAATATCACATTTTTCTGTCAGTCATTTTTTCAATTGAGTCTGACTCTTCGTGACCCCATTTTGGGGTTTTCTTGGCAAAGTTACTGGAGTAGTTTGCCATCTCCAGCTCATTTTACAGATGAGGAAACTGAGGCAAATTGGCTGAAGTGACTTGTCCAGGGTCACAGGGTTAGTAAGTGTCTGAGGCTGAATTTGAACTCAGGTCTTCCTGACTCCAAGCCCGGTGCTCTATCCACTGGGCCATCTAGCTGCCCACCTAACAATTTACAAAATGCTTTCCTCACAACAACCCTGAGGTGGTTAGTGTATTATTCCCATTTGACAGTTTAAGAAATTGGGGTTCATAGCAGCTGTGACTTTCCTACAGGGCTAATGACTATCAGAGGCAGGTGTTCTGATTTCAAATCCAGCACTCCACCACATTGCGATGCCTTACTGAAAAGACTAAGGCCTACGATTAGCCACAACAACAAGGGAGAGGTCAGACAAGATCCTAGCCTGATGTAAGAAGCCACTAAATTGTTCCTTCCTGGACCAAATAATTCCACGTGAGGGTTTGGGGCTGAGTCGTTCAATCAGCATTTACTGGCTGTCCACTGCACCCAATCCTAAAGTGTTGGGGTGTTCCAGTAGTACACATACTCCTCATCTCACTCCCATCCAGGAGTCACTGTATATTCCATGAGTTACAAAGCAAGTCATTGCACTGCAGAGCCCAGATCAATATGGCAGACAGTCATTCGGTCAATGTGTGAACAAACAGCACTAGGGAGGTACTCTGGACTAGGAGAGTTAGGAGACCCGTTCTTCTCATCCTAGTTTTGTCACCAAACAGCTGGGTGACCTTGCACAAGTTCCTCAAAGCCTCTGTGCCTATTTCCTCATTACAACCACATTTTCTAGAATTTCAAAGCAATTTGCAAAATATTTAAAAGTGATCAGCTGATGTATAGAAATGAGGGGAATGGATTACATTATTCCTTTTCCCTCTGTCTTTTTTTATATAGTTGGTTTTTGCATCAGTTTAATTTACCACTATATTTCTACCTCATCCACTGAGCCATCCCTTCGTAGAAGCAATAAAGAATAAACAAGCAGTTCAGTAAAATCAATCAATACCATTCCCTGAATCTTGGACCCAGACTCACCCATCTCTGAAAAAAACAGAAATTGGAAGGCCTAGATTATCCTTTCTGGATCTGACATGCTGATCTTAGGTTGCTGTTGCTGGATGTCCACCTCTGTGTGGGCGCTGGGGTAACTCGAGGGAGAGATGCACTCGACTGAGTCCTCAAGGACTTGCCTATGCCATGGATGTAGAACACAAGAAAAGATGGGGGGCAGCTAGGTGATGCAGCGGATAGAGTACCGGCCCTGGAGTCAGAATGACCTGAGTTCAACTCCGGCCTCGGACATATAACACTTACTAGCTGTGTGACCCTGGGCAAGTCACTTAAACCCATTGCCCAACCTCCAAAAAAAGAAGAAAAGATGAAGACCAGTGACAAAGTTATGGCCTACATAAGCAAAAACAAATGACTGTGATGAACACAGAATAATCAATCAACATTTATTAAGCACCTACTATGTGCCAGGCACTGTGCTAAGCCAGCTAGCCTCAGGGTCCTCACCCATAAGAGGAAGGGGCTGGAAGGGAGGATCTTTAAAAGCCCCAAGGACTTGAATAGTCTAGAATCCAGGGGCCCCTTCGTATACCAAGATTCTGCCCACAGGGGGTGGGCAGTCACCCACCAGGTCCTGTGGGAAAGAAACAAGGAACAAGTTAGATTCTCCAAATGGCACCTCACAAGTCACCATACGATTAACAGTCATTTTCTCCTTGAAAAATAATGCAAACAGGATAAAAATCACCTAGACTCTGGAATGTTTCTGTGACAGCAGACAGTGCTCCGGCACTTGCTTCTGAACATTTAAGGCAATCTCTATCCTAATCCTATCTACTCCTCCTGTAGAGTTTGTAACTGTTGACAGTTATGAAATCTGAGGGCTGGAGGGGGCCCCACGGGTCACCACCTCACATTCGCTCATCTATAACAATAATCATATAGCACCTACTATGTGCCACGCACTGTGCTAAGCATTTTACAAATACTACCTCATTTGATCCTAATAACCTGGGGGGGGTGGGGTGGTAGAGGTGCTATTATTACCCCCATTATACAAATGAGGAAACTGAGGCAGACAGAAGTGAAGTGACCTGCCCAGGGCCACACAACTAGTAAGTGCCTGAGGGCACAACTCAGGTCTTCCTGACTCCAGGTCCACCATTCTATCCACTGTGCTGCCTAGCTGCCCCATCCAATTGTCTGTCTGTCCATCTGTCCAATCAAGATTTATTAATCTTACATCCAACTTTCAAGCAGTAACAGCTGATCTACAACACTCTGACCCAGTCATACGGCCTCTTTGATGCACTGGGGTCAGAGGAGGACGTGGGTGGAAATCCTAGGCCTTGGGTCACATCTAGCTCTCAATCCATGATCCTGGCCAGGGTGAAGAATCCACATGGGGCGGGTACGGGCTAACCAGGAGTGCTCTACCTGGCCCTGAGTGCTGGCTGACTGCAGAAGCCTGGAAACCCTCTGCTCTTTCTGGCTGAAGTACCCCCTCAGTCCAAGAGACTTCCCATCCTTTTACCA